CCATCAAGTGGTTTAATTAAGCAAAGTGCAGCAGCTGCTTGAGACACAAGCCCAGGGTTGAGTCAGGCACGTGCAGGGCTGAACACTGACTCCATCTGTACCTTTTCCCACCCCAAAGCATCAGACAAACCTTCCAAAAGGTCTCACTTTCATTCCAGTGCAGATGGACATTTTTCTTTAATCTCATTATAAGCAATTTCCTCCTCAGTTCTGCTTTAATTGGTCCTTCTGCACATACCATTGGACACAGGAACAAGAAAGCCCTTCCCTCCTGCTGCCCTCTCCAGAGAGAAAAGCCTCTCTTTGTGGCATGAAGACTCAGAAATCCTTCCAAAGTGCTGTTTGGATTCGTGATAGCTGCTTTGCTCTGCATATGGAGATACAGATATATACCTATATCCTCCAGCTTAAATATTTCCTGTCACTTTCTCAACCTTTATCAGTGCTTCAGTAATTATTCTGCATTACAGTCCACGAGCTGCTAAGTCCTACATGGATTATAAACATGTGGCATAGGAAAGTTAGAAATAACGATGAGAAAAACAACTATCAGACAAACTTGGAGTTGAAAAAGGAAATTTTGGACACAGCTAATGGCAACCCAAAAAGTCAGAGATGGAGAAAAACTGAAGCTGTCCCAGTTGTCCTGATACAGCCAAGCCCTGTACGAGTTTAAATCTACATTTTGCCTTTCTCTCTTGCCAAATGTATTTCTTTGTTGTATTTCTTCAGCGTATTTATTGCTCAAAAAAATGTTTTTGGTGTTTCTGTTGAAATTGGAGATGACAGGATATGGTTTTGAAAGTCCCTCAGCTTCCTGTGACAGGAGAGTGATCATCACGGCACGGATGTGAAATCAAAGAAAATAAAATCATGAAGTGAAACTCTGTGTCTCCCAGAATGAGCTACTTGTAGTTTCCTTCTCATCACAGAGACTTCCCTCTATCTATTCCTGGCACCAAGTGGTTGAGCTTCTCCACTTTTAACAGCAAGTAGTAAATGTAACATCTAAGGAACGAGAAGACCTCCTCAAAAACCAAATCATTAAATAAACACTCAGAAGAAACTTCAGTCTGATTTTCAGGACATACAAACATGGAGGATTAAACATGAGAATGGGAAATACTAGAACCCAGTGAATATTTTGAGCCCTTCCCTCATTATTGCCATTCTGGGACTGACAGACCTTCCCCACTGGGGATTAGGAGACCATTTCAGCAGCCAATTTTCCCCAGATTTGAGGTGTGGAGTTCTCAGCATTTCACTAAGAAAATGTAGAGTGAGAAGGAGCCAGATAAGTGGAGTGGCTGAAAGTGGAGGGATATGGAGATAAGGCAAACCCATGAGCCTCGTGCCACCTCCCACATCTAACCTGGGAGTAAAGGTTTAAGAAGTTGGAGGAAAACATTAAGCCATTTCCTCCAAATTCCTCTCCAACTCGAGCACAGCTTCTTGAAAAACCTGAGGAGTTCTGAAGCTAAGCATTCCATAAAACCCTTTGCTGTTGGAGATCTGTCCTCCTTGGAAGCAGCAGTGAAGGGTCAGCAGATCCCTCTGTCCAGCCCCTCTGCTCTCCTGGGCACTTGATTTTCATTACTTAGCCCTTAATCACACACCCTCAAGGCTCAACAGCCCAAAAAGCATTGGATCTACATATCCCATGGATAATGGTGGAAGTCACTGTCTCTCCAACTGCCAAACAATCATCAAGGACAAACCCAGCAGGAAAACCATGAGGGGATGACATGACAACCCACGACCTGTACTTAGGAATGCTATTTCCAAGCAGTGCTCCCTAAATCCAATGCTTTTGTTCTGACCAGAAGCACAGGCTGGGCTGGTTATTTACCCCAGAGGGACTCCAAGGAGAGGACCCAGCAGAGTGCCAGGGTCACCCCAGCTCTCTGCTCAGCAAGAAATTGTTTAATTCTGCTTCCTGGGAGAAAACAGGCTGCACTTATAAACTCCTCCAAGTTTTTGGCTAAAGCCCAGGGCAATACATTCCTTTCCAGGAGTGGCAGATTATAGCAAGGACAGAAAGGCAACTTGTGATCAGACATTACATCTTTGTCCTGCCCTGGCCAAATCTGCCCTGGCAGAAGAGGTGGGGTGAGTGCTGCCTTGGCTGCTGCTCCTGATCCCACTAAGTCATACTCCACCATCAAACTCAAAGGATTTTTCCCATTTCTTCTCTCTTTTCAATGTTTTTTTTTTTTCAATAAAAGAGCACAGCCAAATGTTTTCTATCACAATCCTCATTACCCGTTGTCAGATTGCTCAGACACCTGTTTTTGTCAGCAGATTTGCTTGCAAATAAGGCCTTGAAAAGGATGAATAAAGTCACACTTTTCAGTCATGTGAGAATGAATATAAATCAGCATGAAATCCTTGGAAACAGCAATTCCCTCCAAGGGCAGAGTTCAGGTTCCTGAGGTATTTGTCAGCAATCACCTTTCCTCTTGCAGCATCCAGTCTCCAGGAGATGCTAAAACTCCAAGAAACCCACAAAATACAGGCTCCTGCTTCCCTGTCAGCTGTTGAAACCTTTTTCCTGGTGGAACAGTGGGTCCTAATCCAGACTGTCTTTATCTACTAATCACCCTGCTGGGCAGAAATAATGAGGCAGAAAAGATGAGCCTTGAGGAAGGGACTCAGGTGTCACTAAGCATCTTCTGTTGGATAAAGCCTTGACCACAGCAAACACTGAGAGGCACAAATCCACAACAGATGCATAAATGAGCAATAGCTGAGCCATATAAAATACAGTGAAGTGCAGACTCGCAGGCTTTGGAGATGGAAAAGACCTATTAGGTCATCTAAGTCCAGCTCCTGCCAAAGCACAATTGGCCCCTAGCGATGTGCTGAACTTTAAGGAAAAGCCAGGCTGCCAAAAGCTTTGTCAAGCCTGTTGCACTTGCTCCAGGAGAGAAATGAGAAACCCAAACCTAATGAACAGGCTGCAAGGCGTGGAATGCCAGGAAAACTTGATTGTGTCCCCTTCTCCTTACCAAACCTTAGCAGGGCTGAACAGCACAGGGCCAGGCTTTGCCCCCAGCACTCCATGGGAACTCTGGTTCCTCTGGCAGCTATACAGAGAATATTCACTGTGGCTCAAGCTGTTTGAAGTGCCAAGGCAAGGTGTGTCCCTCCCAGGCTGATGCCTCCAACCTGTCTTCATCCAGCCATGAAACTGTCTCTATAGTCCCTGTGATTGGGTATTTGCCTACCAGGGTGTTTCACCCTCAGCCTCTCCACACCAACAGGGATTTGCATTGGAGCTGCTTCCTCTGGATTGTATGAGGCTACCAGAGCTAGAACTCCACACTGTGTCCCATCACCTCTGGCATGGCTTGGAGAAGAGCTGGGGATGGGGACCTGGGAATGGCAGGGGAGTGTACCTCAGGACCAGGAATCCTGTGTCCTGCCAAGAAGGCACCTGCCACCAACCACCCCTGAGCACCACACAAATAACTGCCCATCTCAGGAAGCTGCCTAGAAACACAGTCATGGGTGTTTTCATCACAGGAACAGAATCCCAAAGGACTCCAGGA